AGATAGAGAGGGCGGAGAGCAGAGAGAGAGAGAGACGAGAGAGAGAGAGAGAGAGAGAGGAGAGAGAGAGCGAGAGGAGAGAGAGAGAGAGGAGAGAGAGAGAGAGAGAGAGAGAGAGGGAGAGAGCGAGAGAGATACATTATATATATATATATATATATTTAATATTAATATATCATATATATATATATATATATATATATATATATATATATATATATATATATAATATATGCAAACTGAGCGCGACCTAGCGTCTCATGTAACCGCTGTGGCCATTGGTGCGCAGCGTCTGCCAATCGAATCGGAGGTCCGCGAAGCGCCACCCCCGATAACACGCTACTTGTGTTCATGCAAACGTCCCGGATTCGTTGGAGATGAATACTTAAAACCGAATTTTCTGCTCGATCTGGGAAACGCGAAATTATCAAATGTATTGGCAAGTCCAGGCCTTTAAAACCAAAGTAGGTTGAGGTAAACCTGACGATAACAGCCCAGGGCTTCGTCCAGCCTCGATTCGGATCTGTCCGCCTGGCGGCCTGAAGCAGGTGAGCTCTCCTCCAATAACCCGGTGGATTCCCTCAATCAGACCAGCCCAGTGCCCCGCAACCCAGCTGGGGCAGCGGCCAGTGGAAGTGGCTTTACCTCTGCGAGGAGCGGGGGCGTGACGGACGCCTCCGCTGCCGAGCCGGTCGCCGGAGCCTCCCCGCCGGCGGGGTCATCGTCGGCCGGCTCAAGCGCGCGCAGCCGGCTGGCTAGCAGCTGGTGACCGGCCGCCTGCAGGTACGTGCGCATCGTGGTGCGGCCGGCGGCCAAGTCGGCCGACCACCGCCGCAATAGCGGCTGCAGGTTCGGGCCGCGCTGCCGCCTGCGCGTGCTCACGCCTCGCCCCATGTCTTGGTCCACAGAGGCTATCACCTACCGGCGGCGCGCGCGCTGGCGTGAGCGGGGTGGAGCGGGCCGGAGTGGGGCGTGAGCGCGGCATGAGTGGGGCGGAGCGGGACGTGAGCGGGGTGCAGCGGATCGTGAGCGGGGTGCAGCGGGGCGTGAGTGGGTGCGGCGGGGCCGGAGCGGACTGGAGCGGGGCGTGAGCGGCCCGGAGCAGGGCGTGAGCGGGGTGCAGCGGGGCGTGAGCGGGGCGCAGTGGGGCGTGAGCGGGTGCAGCGAGGCGTGAGCGGTACGTCAGCGGGGTACAGCAGGGCGTGGGTGGGACGCAGCGGAGCGTAAGCGTCGAGCGCCAGCTTCCACTGTAGCCGCGTCTTGTCCGGCTGGTCTGGACATTGGCATAGCATGGAACTTACAGGGATACATGATAGGACTTGGGAAGAGTGGTGCAAGGCAGCGGGCCTGTTCAGACAAGGCTGTAACATCAGGACAAGCTGTTTCTCCTGCTGCATCCACCAGCCATGTAACCATATAATGGATACCATTCATGTCATGACAGTATGGGCTTCACAGAGGTTTTGAATCTGACACAGTAGACGCAATATTGACAAAATAAAGCTAATCATTCATGATTCAGGTCTCAAAGATGGTGGTGACAGCCATGAACATCTGTCACGTAAAGCGTAACATCCGTCTTACCCTATTGAGTGCGAGGATGAAGGTCCAAATGTCCGCGCCAGATCTGAGCGCGTCAGGCAGCGTTTCTAGGAACGCCTCGGCGTCAGTATTGCTACAACCCTTGATACCACACACGGACAGGCTGTCAGGGCTCAGCCTCCACAGCCACTCCTCCACAACGTATTCGCCGATACGCCGCAATGCCTCCGATGTCGCATCGCCCACCTGAGGTAAAGAAGACGGAATGTCATGTCATTGATATTGTAAAAACCACATCGCTGCATTCATGTAAGTACTCTGCACATTGTTGTAAACAAAAAGAGTACCTTACTTAAGCCGTTCTTGCCGCAGATGCCGTTTTAATACAATATACATTACAAGTACAGCATCTGGACTCACAGTGGATTACTTTACAATCAAGTTTCGCCCTCGAAGTTCTCCAATTTGCCAATTTGGCGTCCGACATTTTGCGTTGCTGAATACTGACTACAACTTGATGGTGGAAATACATGGCAACCTGACTCTTCTCCCGACCACAGCCAGCCCTGTGCGCCACCACCCGGCCGGCTGGCTCACATGGGGAGGCGCGTGCGTGAGGTGCAGCTGGATGGCGTGCTCTAGCCGGTCGGCCGGCAGCAGCGGCGCCGCCAGCAGCCCGCCGAGCCACTCCCGCACGGCCGACACCTCCCGGAACGCCGCCGATAGGCCCTGTCGGCGCAGCTGCCGGGCGGACCGCCGCGCCACGGTCAGCTGACGCCGCCGAGGGCAGCGCGCCCCGCACGGCCGACTACCGGAAGCACAGGGAAACTCAGCCGCACGAGCCAGGCGACAGATGTCGCCGGCACACGGCAGCCGCTGCGCTTAAGAGACAACGAACATTTGCGGTACTGTCGCTGAGGGCCAAGTGCCGGCCATTTTCCCTGAGCTGTGATGTGAGACGAGATCATCTGCTCACAGGAACGTACTGTCCGTTCAACACCATGCATCCGTACATGTACAGGCGTAAATGTTTCTTTGACAAAATGGGAACCCTCGCCAGAACAAGCTGTTGACATGATAAGTGTCTATGCGTGAAACCAGATTCAATGAGACTAAAGTTCTCCCTGTAATTTGAACCACCTAGGCAGCAGGGACCAGTAAACATGCCACAAGCAGTGCTTGGCGGGAATCTCCGCAGTTGACCAGAGCCTAATGTCGCTCGAGCGCACGATTTGAGGCTGACTTCATACCAAATACAAGTGCAGCATTATGTGAGCGTGGCAGCAGCGACGGCGTCCTGGCTCGACAGCAGCCTCCGTGCCCACCTCACCTGTCCGTAGACGGCACGACAGTAGTGTGGGTATCCGACCGCCCGCCTGGCGTCCGGCCAGGCTGCGGCCACCGCCGCGCAGAGGGGCAGGTCGCCGTCGGTGAGCAGCGCGGCGGGCGTCAGACGCCGCGCGACGGTCCGCTTCACCAGCCGCAGCACGCTGCCGTACAGCCGGCACGACCGGCCGCTCAGCAGCACGAACAAGACCGGCCGCGTCCAGTTGTCCACCTCGGCGAACAGCACCAGCAGGTGGTCGAAGCCAACGGCCTTCGGCGCCGCCTGCGGACGGGGCGGGCGGTCAGCACCGGCCGCCGAGCTCAGATCAGCTCGGTTCAGCTCAGCTCAGCTCAGCTCAGCTCAGCTTAAATCAGTTCAGCTCAGCTCACAGCTCACAGCTCAGCTCAGCTCAGCTCAGCTCAGCTCAGCTACCGCGGTACCGCGGCCTGCGGCCACTGACACTGGGTGAGACGTGCAGGTGGCGCCCGTCACCAGCAGATGGCGCGGTCACACATTTTCCGCCGGTAGGTGCACGGCGAGGTACGCTCTACCGAGGACGGGTGGGTGCGCTTCCCTTCCGACACGGACTCTCCAGGAGCACTGCCATCAGGGCGTGGCCAAAGACGGCATCCGATCGACAAAAGCATGAGGTGTGGGCGAAAATCAGCTCTACAACCAATAGTACGCAGGATATGCACCCTTCGCACGCAGTCGCCGCACGGTATTGCAATACTGCGCAGGACCCCACAGCGCTAGTACACCGGACCACGGACCACCACACCCTTCCGTGAATCCGTGACCGTGAATCCAGCCCGACCACCGTGAATCCAGCCCGACAACTCACCGTGAGCGTCGTATCGAACTGCATGGCTCCAGACGTGCGCTCCCGCATCGCCGCAATCACCTGGGCTGACGCAAAACCGACCGCCACCTGAGTACGAATGCGGCGCGGTGGTCGGTCAGCCACATACCCGCAAGTTGTCCAACCGAAGGCGTGAATTACTGCCGTAAATCATCCAAAACGGATCCAAGCACAGCTAACCAGAAGACTCACGGCCTCCTCTGAGCCACAGGGCAACAACTGGCATTATACTCGCCGCCTGCCGTGCTCAGCTGACGCCGGTTGCGCCGTCACATCAAGAGGACAGGTGCAGCTTACCTTGCCACTCCCGCCGCCAAAGCCGAAGACGAAGTTGTCGCGGTATTCCGGGGCGGCGGCCGGTATGAGTCCCAGGACCTGGGCCGAGCTGGTCGGCGGCAGCGGCGCGGACACGGCGGCGTCACGCTGCCGCTGACAACACGGCCATCACGTCACGCCACGCACCTAACGCCACGCACCACACACAGAACCATGCATGCCACGCACGTCACGCCACGCACCTAACGCCACCGCACCACACACAGAACCACGTATGCCACGCACGTCACCCCACGCACCTAACGCCGCGCACCACACACAGAACCACGTATGCCACGCACGTCACGCCACGCACCTAACGCCGCGCACCACACACAGAACCACGTATGCCACGCACGTCACGCCACGCACCTAACGCCGCGCACCACACACAGAACCACGTATGCCACGCACGTCACCGCCAGCCAGAACCAAGACCGCGCGCTCATTCCGCAAGGCGTTGTGGCCGACACACATTATGCGTAGACAGATAAAAAGGCTTGGGCGTTCCGAATACTTTGATCGCTTCTTTGTCCTTGAGCCTGAAAAAACCAGACCGCAGTCGGGCAGTTCAGGTTTCATGCAAACTGACCAAAAATAAAGCAACAATTCCTAAAGCTTCAGTGCGTCCATATCAACTGCCAGGGCATACCACCATAACCTGGCCCCATCATCCCAACAGCATTCCTGCGACTCTCGAGAGTATCGTGAACACAAGGATGCATGTGACCGCGAATGTGAACGCCGTGTACCGACCTGCTGGTCTGCTGTAGGCGCGGCCGTGACCGGCTGGACGGGGCTTCTGTTGGCTGGGGCTGCGTCGGCTGGACCCGCCGCTCCTGCTGGGCGGCAGCCGCGCCTCGGCGGCGAGGTTCGCGGGGCAGGCGCGGGCGTGTTGGGCTGTCCGGGGCTCCTGTCGGCTGGGGCCGCGTCGGCTGGATCCGCCGCCACAGCTGGAGGGCAGCCTCGACGCCACCGCGGCGAGGCTCGCGGGGCAGGCGCGGGCGTGTCCGGCTGGCGGGGGCTCCTGTCGGCTGGGGCTGCGTCGGCTGGATCCGCCACCACAGCTGGGCGGCAGCCACGCAACCGCGACGAGGCACGGACTGGCCGCTTCGGCGACGCCGGAGGCCGACCAGCCAGCCGGTCCCGCTGGAAACAGCGTCAGCCCGGTCAATACAGCCACAGGCCAGCAGGCACACCGACGCTCGGCGTCTTACAGCCTTGGAACGGAGCCTGTATATTCCTTAGTTTCGAGACAGCATCATTTTGGGCGTGAAAGTCTAACTGGAACATCAGTCTTCCTTTGGAGCCGTCGCGGGACACCAGACGTAATAATATTAAGGGTAACCGCATTTGATGATACTTTTACGTAAAATCACATTGCATTAATACACCGCACGTTTTGGTGTTGTATGTGATATTTGTAACTGGTGAAGTGTTTTGAACGTGTCTGGAAACTATGCGGCTGTGTAATTAAAGGCAATGTTTCACATTCGAACATATTGAAGCAAACACCAGATATGATAAAATCAGCTCACTGATAAGCATTGGTACGCTTTTGAGTGGAGAAGACCGCTCTAGGCAACGTAAAATCTCTTTAAAGTGAAAGTGCTCCACATTGCGTCATTGCATGTTGCGTCATCGTACCTTACACAACAGTAATTGGGAGTCAAGTGACCGCCGTTTTATTACGAAATCGTGCTCACGAACGCCAGATATGAGCGACCCGACAGTTGCATTTGTCTTAGCCTCGACCATTGCATGACCAAGGGAATGGCAGGATTTGAATGGCATCATTAAGGTGTCATGAATGCCATGGGTGCCATGCAGCGCTCACGATCGGATTGTATAGCTGTTCCATGTAATGCATCATCATGCAAACGGCAAAGTGGTAAATAACTTACGTCGAACCCTAAAAATGGGGATGGGTAGGTTCTCATCATGCAATGCCCCAGTCCTGGTGCACGATCAGTTTCATGACACCTGGTTATAATCCCACACGGAGTAACGACCTCTACCTGCAAACGCCTTCACAATGACCAAATATTCAAAAACGCACAACGCTCCGCAATTCGTACGTAACAACGATCGCCTCACTTGCAGCGTAGCTCTCAGCTTGCTGAAGCGCACCAGATGGCCGACTGGTGAACTGCTTGTAACGTCTTCGAAAAGCTGACGGAGGGTGCAGCCCGTCCGGTCGTTCCGCACCGCCCTCCTGATGTCCACCACCACACGTCTCACCTGCGCCGTGCACAGTTAACACACGTCAGCCGCCGCACAAGTGTGATTTGTAGCACATGAGCCACTGCTCCCTTCCATTTTTGTCACAACGTGAAGGTCATAATCCGTTAGTGCAGCCCGGGGTCCTGGGACGGTCATTTCAAAGACTCATAATTGGGGTCGGTCATCGCACCAGTGCAGGTCGAAAAAGCGGACGCTGAACGCGTGCGCAGCGTAGACTGCAGGCGCACAGCCTCATGCAGTTGCCCAGGTACATGCAGTATATGCAAGGAATATCTGATCGACAAAACGACGACTCCACCCGTTAGTCGTGGTTTCATTCACCGCACAAAACGATGGAGTCTGCTTGTCTTTTGCTGCCCAATATCGCACCTGCACATCTTCATGCCTCGCGGCGCGATTGTGCTGTAGCCTCTCAGTCATGTCCTTGTCGGCTACAATCTTGGCTGTCCCTGGACACTTAATGCCGCGAGCCTTTGCCAGACAGCAGCTTGAGACCGAGGACGAAACCGTACGTCGATAAGGCACTGTGAGTCCCTCATTTCTGCCAAAGCAACGCAGGTACAGATGGAGAAAAGCATGTTAAACAAGCTGGCGATCGTGCTCGTGGTCGTGACGTTGTGTGTGGTGTGGATGGTGGTGGAAGTAGGTCGTGACTGACAGACGTAAACTTTCCACAAATGGTGCCGTTACTGAGCTAAAACAATACATACGTACCTGAACCAGCAGCGGTAGTGCCATTACAACGGTCACAGCAATGGGCGGATAATGCACTACGGCAGGCATAACAGCGTTCAAGCCATCTTTCTTCACTCTAGGCTCACTATGAACGTTTCTACATCGAAAGACGCTCGTCACAGCCGCTTTGTCACGTCAACGTCTTTACCACCAGAATTCTCTAACAGCGACGACAGCTACACTACGCACTGCAGGTGGCAGACGCCCTTGCTCGAGCAGTTCCGTCTCACGTAGAGGTGGCCGCTGCTGGCAACGAACAGCTCCAAGCCTAGCCGCTTGCCAGGCAGGGCGTAGTAGTTCACAGGCTCTGGCGGGGGACAACCCGTCAGGCAGGGAATCGATTCAGACCGCCCGCAGCTGGACAACGCGCAGAATGTCGGTGATCTATCCAGTCCTCGCAAGTACCATGTGCCTGGCTTCCACCATCCTTTGCCAACCACGTGAATGAGTCTCAGCAATTTTCGTGCCCGTGCAGGCGCGAAGACCGTCGATTGCTGTTCCGTTCACCCTCGTCTACAACCATTCTACGCCATACCAAACGCAAGATCCGGACAAAGGAAGGCAAGTATACAAAGGACGCCAACATGTAAAAAGGGTCCAGCTCGTTAAACCATCACACACATCAAAACAGAACTGGGTACATCGAAAATTGAGGAGACTCGGCCTCCTTTATTCCATTTATCGCATCCATGATGTTTATATGAGTGGCAACATATTTTGTTTCATGTCGTAAGCCAGGATCTTACCAGGCACTACGTGTGCATCCAATGTTTCAGTGCCTGGATCGGAACGAGACGTGACATCCTGCACAGCAGTCTCTTCCAGTTTAATGTTCGCATCGCATCCTGCAAAACACCAAAGAAATGAACCAAATCCCAATCGACATCAGTAATGCAAATGTGCAGCGATACATTATGCCCAACTCCATGGTGGAAATACAATAGTGCCAGACAGTACCAGCCAATAAGATCGACTGTAACAATGACAGCATCACATTATGAAAGACACGCGTCGGGCACCACAAAACGGAACACTTCAATCGAAAAGGTGGGGAATAAAAAGACACAAAAGCAAATTTGGTGTGTCACGGTCGACAGCAAGTTGTCTTACTTAATTATTAGAGTTCAAAAATTAAACGCACTAGGCATGATTTGACGGTGAACAAAATACCTTCAAGTTATGAAATATTTTCAAGTCCGTGGTTTACACATCCGGAAAACAACTAATATTTTCAATCCAAATTCCATCGATCCAAATCACCTTTGCAACCACAAACAACACAGACAAACGGCACAATCGGCACTTGCGCAAGAATGGCTTCAGTTCGTTGCGTCGGAACACGAACATATGTATCGGGGTTTTCCGGTACCCAGTTACTGGGCGTCATCTCGCCGGTACCTCAATGGACACCGCAGCGCGGGCCTACATGCCTACAGGCAAAACGGGTCCAGCTCGTCGAACCAACATCAAACACGATGCACAAAACTGAATCAGTCCTCTCAAGAAAGTTGCTTTCGGCTAATACGCCCGGTCGCCACTTATCACGCAGCCCTCCGTCATATTTGGCACTCAGGACACAACAAATCAGCCATCAGACGATATATGCCTATACGATGTATTCATTGTCAATGAGGGAGTAAATGCGCACATTTGGTGCATACCGCTGTCTCGGGTGTAGAATTCAGTGCCAGAAGCCATCGGGTTTCCATCCTCCGGAGACGAAACCCGTTCCGGTTCTTGCTTTATATAAGGGGGTCCACCTGAAATGGAGACAAAATTAGCTTGTGCGACTTGTGGTCGGCATCCAAATTGCGTGGCAAGCTATATAAACCCATCGAACGTTAAATTATATGCTTTACATTCGTCTTGTTCACTGCCTTTAAACTTCAGCGCACGGTTCCCGAGGCGACAACACGGTGTGGCATACAATATTGAGCATATCGGCTCTCAAAGTTTTTCGCCACAGGGTGTTAGCAGACGTTTCAGCATACCACCTACCAATTTTGACGTATTTTTGTATTTGTTTTTACTGACATCAGTGCGCCTTTAATTCAATTTGTTTGGTTTATTTATCACGCAACTAAACTGACAACAAAACGTGATTAAAGTGACGTAACGTGACGTGATTCGAACGGAACGAAACGTGATCACGCCCCGAAGCATAATCAATGGGATGTGCGCAAAACGTCTGCCACTTCTAAGAAACATGCACGATCCCTGACATAACAAACATATGCACTCTCCAAAATCTTTCGGACTTTTGTAAGCGCCAAGCCTTCGCGGGCTGCCAACTTTAGGGGAAACAAGTGAGAACATAAAAATCCTGCGCGAAAACTCGGCTCAATGCATGTTGTATGCGCTGTATGCAGAAAGCGATCATGAAATCCATCAACCCAGACTCAGGCAGTTCTTTGATCACAAGCAATCGAATACGGGACCCACATCCATTGTGGATGGTGGCACATCGGCCTCTCACGCGGTATACCCGGGGTTGAATCTCATCTACGACTGACCTTCAACGGGTGGCTCTATGGTCTACCGACGCAGAATGGCGATGCTTGCCTGCTTCATGCTGAAACGGAAAAGAACCTAAGTTAAGTTTCTTTATTGGACAGATGCGTAGTTACTGATGTCGTAAAGGAGGAATTCTACAGAGGTATTGAGGATCCCATGAATGTTGTTCGTAAATCTAAATGGGGCTTACAATTTGTGTTAACATAGACATCCCGATGTCATCTGGGAACGTCCAATCTTACGTCAGAATGCATGCGTGAAAAGAAGGGTGTACATTATCGTTCCGGTCAGTTGCTAAAAGATTATCCTGTCCCAGCGCGAGGCGTCCACCGGCTGCCATTCTGGCGTCACGTAGTCGGGTTCGCCTGCTTGATCCAGAGACTCGTACAAAGATACATCGATGCCCTCTCTGGCGCTTAAGGCCCTCTGAGCGAGGCATTTAGCCCTGGATAGGCGCAAGAGCCCTCATTGGTGCAATAACATCCCCAATAACCACAGGTGGTCCAATAACGGATACAAAGATCCATGTTTGGCTTAGGGGCCCTCGGCTGAGACGAGACGAAGGGCCCCGAGGGCAAGGACCCCGAGTAAGCCCTGGCCGGCGCGGGACTCCTTCCGTCACAGGACCCCCGCTGGGCACCTCGCGAGCCTGGCAGTCAAAGGGCCCCTCACTGCTGTAGGGAATCAGACGAATGCAAGTCTCGGGCCTCGGTCGCGTTCCTGCTAAGGAAATGGGGCCTCAGGGCTCATAACAGCACGGAGCTAACTGCCGCGTTGTAGTGGTTTCTGACCGAAATAGGGGCCCGTATTGCCCCAAGGGCTCACAATGGGTATGCCAAGGCATTTTGATTGGCATTTGAGGTACACAGCCATTACGGGCGGACATGACCTGCAGCCCTTTCGACCCTTACGGCCATTCAGCCTTCCCATCGGGACGTTGATCGGTGCCAGCACTCGAAGGGCCTTCATCGGTCCCTTCTTCGGCGCCTACCCTCGAACGCTCTCCCCTGACCGAACTCGGCGCGCCCCTTTGTCATAAGCACCGGTATCGCCGGTTTTTAGGCGCTGTGGGGCCGTGCCGGACCCTTGGCCCCTCATTGACTCGGTGTGGCCACGGACCAATTGTAAATCGCGGGTTCCTCTTGTCCCTGATTGGGACATAGACCACTCAAGCCCAGAACGACTCTGAGCTGGGGGGGACCTTGTTCAGTATTCGTTGTGTTTAAACGACCTAGAGGCCCTTCATCTTCTCAGGGCGCCCAATCCATACAACGGCCCCTCCGACTGGAATGTGAGGGGCTGGCCCGCGCCCCCTTAATGACCTCCAGCCCGGCCTTTGAATCTCGATATCGGATTTATAGTGCTTCCATTTGGCGTTTCTTCGTGGTGAACTGAATGACACTTCAGGCACAGAATTTCAGTCACTTTCGCCCCACGACGGTTCGGTATCAGGAACGAAGTTTCACAAATGGAGTTCGGAGGGGGGGGAGAAAAGTGTAAAATAACAGAAGTAACCCCCCAAAACGTATGGTAACAAGTAAGTTTCTACTCGAACCTGGCCTACTTTCGTCTTGGAGGAGCCCAAAATAAGTGGGAGAGGGACTTTCCCTCAAAGACATAGAGAACTACAATACTGTTCAGTACCAAGGACTTGAGCTTGCCTTTTCTTGTTCTAAGACAGGTGTGACGTTATCATCCCTTACATCGTCATTCCAATGTAATGGGAATGGGGCGTATCCGTATTGACCATATCACTGTAGAGGAACCCCGCCGCCACCGGGATCGAAACCCGAGGCTTACCGCGCGAAAGCCGGATGCATTAACCACCTGGCCACTGCACCTTCAAATGCAATCGTCTACAATTCAGAGATATGGAAAATTTGCTTCGAGTGGATGAAGTCAGTTTGATGACCGCCTCTTAATTATAGTCAAAGACATTGCATGAAGCCATATGGAAACCCTACCCCACCCTTACTCCCGCTCTCTCCAACCGAGCTACCGGGACGGGCGAACGCTTCGTTCGATACGAACCGATTTGGGATGTGTATAATTCCAAAACTTGATTCGTTACAATCTATGATTCCTGTAGCAGCTCTTGCTTTCGGCTTGATCCATTCCCTGCAAAGTCAGCAACCTACGAGATCAATTTTTCCCAGTGTTCCGCAATATAACGACAGCTTGTCATTCAGATCAACAAAGCTGGCGTTCAGCTGGCCGGCTAGGCGGCTGTGCCGTAGGTGGCCATCAATCGATCCGGCCAGCTGGCCGTGAGAAGTTTGAGTTTTTGAAAAATGCGTGCGGAAATTTCTGAGCTGCGGTTTTGGGATGCGTATAAATCCGCTCCGTTATCCATTCGGGCACGATTATAGATTCCTGCCGGTGCGAAACGTGTTGCATATGTTTTAGAAGTCAGTTTTTACAATCATGCGCCGACTGTTACGTGTAGTTGACACATGCCTGTGTAATCTTTTGTGTGGTCGGAAAATGGTGGGATTTAGTGGGAAAGTGTCGGCTGAGAAACATGTCGCGGTGCTGCCTGCGGCTCCCCTATTACGAAATCCTGAATCCACCTTTGGGCCTAGCCCCGTTGTAGCCTACTTATAGGTCGCATCTAATTTGCTGCACCTTATTTAGGCTGTCTTTAATCTAAGCGCAAGCAAAAAGTCACCTAAATCTGAGGAGGAACAACTGTTTGGGGTACGTTAGACGAACCCACATTGGGAATCAGAGATATTGCCGGGCTGTTCCACCTCACACGCAACATTTCCTAAGAAGCTTCTGGCCTCCAAAGCTCATCTTGAGACGCTCAACCCTCATTTGTTCCCTTTCCCCAATCTCAGAGGCATGGCTATAGCCATGCTGGCAATGGAGGAAGTACCTACGCTGCAGCGAGCCGTGAAAATAGGTGGAGCGCGCAATGAACAGCAGGAAGCTTGGGCGCCACTCTTGTGCACTCGTGTTTTTGAGTGCACAAATTTCGCCTTGTAACATTAGGCCCAGGACGATGCTTGAAAAGAATGAGCCCAAATGCTCCAAATTATTGGTGGAGCATCAACCATGTTTGAAAATTGATGCCGCTACCGGCGAGGGATACCCATCCGGACGTGGTGGAACAAGATGGCCATCCGCTGGCGGAGGTGCGCACCAGGCGGTCGGGCTGTCCACCCGGATATGCACGTCTGTACGGCCGGCCGCACTCCGGTCCTGCTCGCGCCGAACCGCGCCCGCGCATGGCAACAGAACCTCGGCCGCCGGCAGAGGCTCGCCGGCTCTGCCGACTCGGCAGGTCATCGGAATGCACGCTGGGTTGGCCGAACGTCCCGCGCGGAGGGGCAATCCCACGGATTTAGGATCGACCCGAAGGTTGAGCCGGACTCACTCGGGACAGAAACCGGTCCGCAA